AGATAAGCGTTGGAGCAAATTTAAAATAAGAATCCAACTTCTGTCGGTTTCCGCCGCTGCCTGTCAGCAATCGATTCAAGTGCCCATCGTTACCAAGTTGGTACAAAGCAATTCCATTTGCATTTCCCCCTCCCAAGCCCCCCAAGAGGACCAACAAAGCCGTCAGATGTCTGCTTCATTTTCTTCGCTCACCATTATCGCCCTAAACACGAGCCAAGAAGGTATCATCATCGCTTTCCTTGTCCGTGGGATTATCCTTTATTCAAATGTCTTGGCTTGCATCCTTGGAAACGGAAGCCGGCGGAAAAAAAGCTTAGCCTTTTCGGATTATTGCCATTCCTGACGGGCGGGGGGACAATCGACCAACAGTTTGTGAGTGGATTTTCGGTACAGTAATCCCTCCATCTATGTGGTGGGTGGTACCGACCGGATGTTCTTCAACCAATTACGATGATTATCTTTTTATGTGATTGGTGTCAACCAATATCTTCAGAAAATCAGCTCATTTCGTTAAAGGACAGCCGAGAAATAGCGTGGGGTGGACCCATCGCATAAATGGGGGGGTTACTGTACTTCAGCAGGTGTCTTTCAACTTCGGTTTTACGATTGTTGGTGTGAAATGCCGCCATAAAATGGAATGGCTTTGTGTTCAATGTTTCAGACCATAAGGGTCATTTCCGTGTGCGGAGTTTTATTTTTTTCCGGAAGGACATTGTGACAGCTCGTACAACACGAGAAAAGGGCCTATCATTGTTGAACGATTCTCTTCAGTGATTTTCTCTTTCGCGAATAACCCGACTGCAAATGAATTTCCCATTCAGTGTGTTGTTTCAGGCGCAAGCAAACATCATCTTCTGTCAAATTGTGCTGAGAGCTTAGCAAGCAATTCGTTTATGTTGCTGTGGTAAACGTGGGAGAAAGTCGATGAAGATAATCGATCAACGAGGATAGGCCCTTTTCAAATGTTACGCGAGAAGGCAGATTATCAATAACATTATGATCTCAGCTGGGACAGCTTTGAAAATCAGAAAACAAATATAAGTGTGGGCTGGTTTCTGTTTGTGAAAGTACACATGTACATGTCCATAGTCGTAAAAAAAGAATCTCCATAACCATAAATATCACCGTGCATTTAAGATTGGCAGTGTAATCCAGGTGTTCTGAACATCCTTAGAGATCATACTCAAGATGACTGTTAAGTAGCAACAATTTAAGCGCTTTATTGGCAGTGCTGTACCAAATAAGAATTCATTACTTCTTTCAACATAATAGTAAACCAATATGTTCTTCATGGACACAATGTCATCTGGAAACCAAAATTTAAAGAATGAGCTGCTTTCAAAGAAGGGAAAACAGTATGAATGCATAAAGTCTGTTCCATTTGGAGTTTAGTCGCAGTTGTTGTGGTTGTTAACTTGCACGGTTCTATGGTACGGCTGAGTTTGAAGACTCTGTCGCATTTGACCTGAAGGGTCGGGTTTAATATTTGTTAATGCTGGGAATCGTGATTGGATTTTCTGTTTTATTGGATTTCTTGAATTTTGCGATTGCGGATTAGGGTTGTTTGATCACCCCAGCAGGCCTGGGTTCAATCCCAGTCGGCGCCGCCGGGATGTTCTGAGGCATAACATCTCTGACCACGCCTTCCTTCGGAATGGAAGTAAAGCCGTTGGTCCCCGGTTCATGACTTGATGGGTCGATAGGTAGGGTCCAGGTGTGGGAGCTGCCTTCCTGGCGCGTCGGTAGCATTGGTGCTCAGCACGGAAAACAAGATCGACGGAAAAAAAAAATGGGTCATTTCTCCAAGAGGGTGTCATTTTGTAGGTTTTTCATTTAGCTTTAAGGGAAAATTACAAGAACTATTATTCATCAGCTTTTCGGATGAACTTTTGAACTTTTCGCTGACTTATCGGCCATCTTTTCCCACCACTTCTCCGAATCAGATGGTGTTTTGATTTTTTGCCACATGTCTTCAATACGCTTGATAATTGCCCAAAATGTTTCGATGGGATGATAATCTGTACAATTCTGGACAATTTGGTGGATTTATACTTTTTTTTCTATAAAATTGACATTATTTTGGTTTTACCGATTCAATAACATCCCTACTGTGATGGCAGCTGGCTAAGTTGGGCCAGAACTTTACGGGACCTTCGTGCGACTGAATGAATGGTAAAATTCTCTTTTGGTTAAATTTCTCCTTGTAAAGTAGTCCATTCATAGTCGCTCCAGTGATGAAAACCTTTGTTTTCTTTCCACAACTGCAGATGCCTTCACAAATCAGCAACTTTAGCGAATTTATCTGCAAAGACAAATTTGAACTTACCAGGAGCACCCCCCTTATGTTTGTTTGGCAAGGTCACATTTTTGACCCGGAATTTGTCCAAAGTCTATTTTTACGGTTTCATCGTAAGTTTTCAACGTGAGTGTGCAGAATTTTTTCACATCTGTCGGGCTCTATATTCGATAACTTTTAAACGTGTGTAGAAAGCTGTATACGACAAGAATCACAAATTTTTAATTTACTGTTAAGTTTGTTCTGTTCCAGATCAACCCATTTCTGTATATTATAGACTTTTCCAGAAAGTATAAGCACACCTTATTTTAACGGTCACTTTGAATATAATGAAATATTTCAACATGTTTTGGCTGCGTCCTTTTGTTTGCTGATTTCTGAATGACATAGCATCAAAAAAGTGCTCAGTTTTGTGTTTCCTGTCAAAATGCGTGGTCTTACTCCGGAACAACGAAAAAGTATTGTGCACAAATGGTGCACTGTGAGCGGACTCTCCTTGAGAAAATTGGCCAAAAAAGAGGGTGTAAGCGTCGGAGCGGTACGAACTGCGAATAAAAAATATAGGGAACAGTGTACGTTTGAAGATGCGCCGAAGATTGGCCGGAAATCCGGTCCTGTAAGTCCGGATATCGATAAAAAGATCAGGGATGCCTACAAACGAAAACCAGCGACTTCCATTCGGGATGTTGCGAAAAAACTAGGGACCTCGTCGAGTAACGTCATGCGTGCCAAAGAAAGACTTGGGCTAAAACATACCGGAAGCAGAAAAAACCCAAAAAGAACCCAAAACAGGCCGCGTCCGTGAAACCACGGGCCCGCAAACTCTACGATTCGTTTTTGTGTCGAAATTCGGGGTGTATAATAATGGACGACGAAACGTACGTGAAACTAGATTACAAAACGCTTCCCGGACCACAATTCTATACTGTAAGCGAAGGCAAGGACATCCCCGAAACAGAGAAGGCAATTTTTACCGGAAAATTCGGTAAGAAGGTTATTGTTTGGCAGGCAATATGCGAGTGTGGTAAAACATCTAGTCCGTACATCACAACGGAGACGATGAACACTCAGAAATACGTTAAGGAATGTCTCCAGAAGCGATTGTTGCCGATGATCAGGCAGCACGAAGGTCAAGTAGTATTTTGGTCTGATTTGGCGTCATTTCATTACGCAAAGGACACTTTAGAATGGTACAAAAGTCAAAATGTATGTTTCGTGCCGAAAGACATGACTCCGCCGAACTGCCCGGAGGCACGGCCAATCGAGACTTTTTGGGCTTTAACCAAAGCAAAGCTTCGAAAATGAATAAAACCAGCGGACGACATCCAAAAATTCAAAAAAGATTGGCCAAAAGTGGTCAAAATGGTGGGAAGTACCACTGTGCAGAAGCTAATGGGTCAAGTTTGAGGAAAAGTTAGGAGTCTTGGCTATGATTAAATATGTTGATTAAACGAGAGTAAAATATCATTTGAAATACAAATACAAATATGATTTGCCAAATAAAATTATTTAAATTAAAAAAAAACATGACTTTTTTGGTATTTTGAAAGTGTGCTTAAAATTTCTGGAACAGTCTATAGACTCCGTGAGATTTTGGCAATTTTCGATCAACTTTTTTTAAAACGTTTATGCACTTATAATGAAAAGTATTTATTTTAACTACCACTTCGTCTTCTGAATTACTGAACTTAAGCAGGTCACTTTCACAGATACTCAGTGAATTATATTCTAATGTTGATTACGTGTCAGATTTGGCTTATATATGGACGTAGGTAATTCAAACCCAACCCACTTGGTACCATGAATTGCTTTGCAATAGGTAGCATGTAAGCATTTTAGCAACAAGCTTATACCTATGAGGTGCATGAAAAAAGGTCACATAGTTTTATTTTTATATTTTAGAAGAAATTTAATATATTGATGAGCCACCAAGAGCATTTTCATTGTAAAATTTTCTTATCTTTCGGGAAATTTTTTTTTGGAACTGGAGAACCGCGAAATACATTTGAAAATGGCCAAAAACTACCAACATTTTAAATATATCTACTTTCAAATCGCTACATCTCGAAAACGGTGCGACTTGTCAAAATTTTACCCACGTGCTTTTTTATTGTAAATTTTATGTACTTTCATTATTTAAAGTTGAAACAGTAATTGGACCAAGTTTTGGATATTTTCCAAAAACTTGAGGTTTTAAATATATATATATAACTTTTTTGACAATCATTTCACCATCTTGACCTATAGTGCAAAAAATGCAATTTTTTTGTTTCCTAAAACATTTTTGAGATTTTTTTTAAAGGGGTAGTTTTTTTTAGAGTGTATATTTTGTTTTCAAATAGTCTCATCTATTACCTGCAATATTGCACAAGACACCAAACCGATCGGACAAACAGTTTTCGAGTAAAAATTTTCTGAAAATAAGCTTGATATTTTTCCATAGGCCCTTTTCAAAAATAAGGCTGGATTCAAAATGGCAAAGTCGGTCATGAGGAACGTTTTCGCAAATTTTCAACCAAATCAAAAACACAAAAATAAACCGATTTGCGAATTCGTAGGGAATTGCTCCGCTACAGTAATTAAAAAGAAGCGGCCACATACTAACTGGAACAGACTTTACTTTACATTGGATAATTTATTTGATGTCATAAAAATTCATTTTTTTAATACTTGCATTTTTCAACCTTTTGTCTCCCATTTCTAGCACTGTAGGAACCATCTGATCTCCCGAAAATTAGGGAATTTCCGGTGCTTGGTGAGTATCTGCTTTTTTGAACTTTTTTTTAAACTCCGGAATCTGCTGATATTCAAGAACCGTTAGAACTCCTGGAGCCTTCAAGAATTTCGAATGCTTAAAAAAAACTACAAGGGACAGCTCTATGGGCTATGGGCAGCTCTAACTTCTTCTCTCAACAAGTTGAGAGATCTTAGCCTTTAGCAGAAAGACGATCAACACTTTTTTCGGCAAATTTATGATCCTGTTTCACGTCATGGTTCTTCTATATGCCTGTTCAGATAAATTAGTACTGTTATTTATTTTCTCTACTGCGCTATATCCAACGAGTAGAAATAACAAGCGATGTCGGTTACGCGCTCGGAAAATTGAAAATTCGATAAGTATAGCTGGAAAAATCTTTACGATTAATCGTAATCGAATAATTGGACTTTTAGGTATTAGTGTAATTACATATTTTTTGGTGGTGGTCCTTTGAAGGCTTGCTTCCACTCACATGCTATAAAAAATGATTTTCTGAATTTTGAAATCATTAGATGTTATAATGATATTTTGTACTTGTTAATAATGATTGTTTGATACATAAAACCTGTCAATTTCACTTCCAGAGTGTTACAATCAGCGATTTATGTTATTTGCTTAACGCTTATGTTTATGTGTTACAGTATAAAAGTTTTCTCGATGTTAATAGCAATTTAAATGTGTCAAGGTATGTTTTAAGCTAGAAAATAAAAAGTGATTCTTTCTACAAAATTCTCATTCACCTCACTCAGCAGAATGCAACCGTAAAAGGTTTAGCATGGAAAAATAATAAGAGAGGAATCATCCACACTACTTGTTGCTGCTAGGGTGGGATAACAAGGGGGCTACCAGGACAAACACCTCGGCGGGTTTGGCAAAGCAACGACCTCATTTGTCATTCTCGCATTTATCATAAGAATCCGACTCTAATTGAAAGGTCCCGCTCTTTATACCCTTCGGAGTGTTGAAACACACTCCAAAGGCGCGCCCCTTTGTCAGTCAAAATTGGATACCTTAGCAACAAAATTAAGGAATGACACCGATAATGACCATGCATCAGAACCCTAGTCTTAACCACTTCAAACTAGGGAACAACGAATAGACGATTAGGAATCACATAGATGAAGACTAACTAACTCATGTTTTCCTTGTTTCAAGATCATCCTCGGTGGACAAAGCCGAGTCTTGTCACTATCAACAAGGCATAAAAAGTAACAAGGACTACGATGTGTTCCTTGGATTACTGAAAAATCCTGTTCTCCTAGTTTGAAGTAGTCAGGACTAGGAATCGGTGGTAGATCTTACATCCCGTAACGTACCACGAAAAGGTGATCTACCCACGTTACGGGGTGGGTGGGTTATACAATGTTGTTCAACCTCTTTTAATGGCCAGCAGTGCTGGAGAACTATTTCTTAGTCTCAAGGTCGGCTGGTGTACTTTACTCGGCAAATCAGACCTCGGATAAGGTGTAGTAAAAAGAAGCTGGTGAAATACAATTTTACCATTTATTTCCCTAATTTAACATGGTGTGTGTGGGGGGGGGGGAGAAGTGTGTGTAAGGTGGTTTGTTACAAATACCTGACCGGCCGGTGGCTGCTGGAATTTACTGGTGGGGGTGATGGTGGTCTCGATGACGGTGGCTAGCTTGATGGCGGGAAACAGTGAGGCTGTAAAGACTCGGTGAAAGCGTCTGGCGACGCACGGAGGGGTATTTTTTTTTTATCTAGTTCGTTTATTTGGAAGGCTCAATCGCGTTAGCTTTACGGAGCCGATAATTCATTGTTCACTGTGTGTAACAAAATTCACTTAATTCTATGTCTAGTAGGAGTTGGGCCGATTACTCGCGATTTACTCGAGGTTAGAAGGGTACATTTTCGAAGGATAGGATCAGGGGAGGAGCTTGGGGTATGGTTTCGTTGTCTCATCAGAGCGTTGTCGCCAGTATGAACGGTAGTGCTGTTCTAGCTTCGTCCGAAGTTCGACCGGCTATGGTGACCAGTGGGCGACGATGAAACTCATCGAGACGGGGGGACAAGACAAACAAAAACTAATAAAGAGAGACAAAAGACAAAGGAATTAAATCCTTATACTAGACATTTGAAGAAAAACATAAACGGACTGCATATAGCAGAGATCACGGGTTGCCAACACGTCTCTGATAGGAACATAGGGTTGCCTTCCTTGGGCCTCGAGGGTATTCAAAAGTCGCTCTCTGGCGGCGTCATTATCCGTACATTGCCAAACTGCGTGTTCGATGTCATCGTAACCGTTTCCACACCGACAGATGTTGCTGTCCACGAGGTTTATTCTATTGAGATGAGCATCTAGCGAGTAGTGGTTGGACATAAGTCTACTCATCACGCGAATGAAGTCACGACTTAAGCCCAAGCCTTTAAACCACGCTCTCGAAGAAACATTAGGAATAATTGAATGTAACCACCGTCCAAGATTTCCAGTGTCCCAATCGGTTTGCCAACTCGAAAAGGTACTCTGACGCACTAAATGGTAAAATTCATCGTGTGAAATTTGCCTGTCATACAATTCGCCTTCCTGCGCGCCCACCTTTGCGAGAGAGTCCGCCTTCTCATTGCCTGGGATTGAGCAATGTGAGGGGACCCATACAAAGGTAATCCATATATGATCTTTCGACCAGCACACACATCTGCTCCCTTACCTTTGAAAGGAAATAAGATGAGTGCCTACCTTGTTTCATCGACCGAATAGCCTCAATCGAACTGAGACTATCCGAGAAGATGAAGTAATGGTCTGCGGGCATGTTGGAAATCATCCCAATGCGAAGTTGATTGCTGCCAGCTCAGTAACATAAACAGAACAAGGTTCCTGAAGTTTGCGGAAGGCGCTAGAGTTTTCATTGAAGACACCGAAGCCAGTGGATCCATTGAGACGTGACCCGTCTGTAAAATATCTTTTCATGCAATTGACTTGTTGGTACTTTTCAGTAAAAATACGCGGAATAATAATAGGTCGAAGTTGATCGGGAATCCCATGAGTTGCTTGTTTCATGGTCAGATCATATTCAATTGAGGAACTGCGATTGGTGAAGTGAACACGGTCTGGAGTATAACAAGAAAGACACATATCTGATGATATGTAGTGGTGGTAGATTCTCATAAATCGAGATTGTGTGTTCAGCCCAAGAATTTCTTCAAAATTTGCAATTATAAGTGTGTTCGTCACTCCGCATTTGATTAGTATTCTGAGAGAGAGCTCCCAGAAACGGTTCTGGAGGGGTGTTACTCCTGCCAGAACCTCGAGACTCATGTTATGCGTTGAGTGCATACAGCCTAGAGCAATACGCAGACAGCGATATTGAATTCGTTCCAATTTTATTAGGTGACTTTTTCTTGCCGAGAGAAAGCAGAAAGAGCCGTACTCTAGAACAGAGAGAATAGTTGTTTTATAAAGCGTTATGAGGTCTCCCGGATGAGCACCCCACCATGTGCCGCAAATTGAACGGAGAAAGTTGATCCTCTGCTGACATTTTTGCTTCAAATACGTAATATGGGTATTCCAAGTGCACTTTGAATCAAACCAGACCCCAAGGTACTTAAAAGACAATGATTGAGTAATGTTTCTGCCCAAAAGATTAAGTTGCATTTGGGCTGGGTACCGCTTTCGAGTAAACACTACCAGTTCAGTTTTCTGCGGCGAGAATTCGATCCCTAGATTCCTAGCCCAAGAAGACAAGTTATCTAAGGAACTTTGCAATGGTCCTTGCAAGTCCATGGCATGTGGACCTCTTACGGAAACCACACCGTCATCTGCAAGTTGTCTTAGCGTGCATTGTTCTGCCAAACAGTTGTCGATATCTTTGACATAAAAGTTATAAAGAAGAGGGCTGAGACATGAGCCTTGGGGCAGGCCCATGTAACTAATTCTGGAAGTTGTCAGTTGTCCAAGGGAAAAGTTCATTTGCTTTTCTGACAACAAATTGTACAAGAAATTATTTAAAATTCCAGAAAGTCCACATCTGTGCAGATTGTCTGACAGAATTTCAATGGAAACTGAATCAAAAGCCCCCTTAATGTCCAAGAATACTGAAGCCAATTGCTCCTTGTGCGCAAAGGCCAGTTGAATATCTGTGGAAAGCAGCGCTAGACAATCGTTTGTTCCTTTGCTCTTGCGGAACCCAAACTGTGTATTTGATAGCAAGTTATTTGATTCGACCCAGTGATCGAGTCTCCGAAGGATCATTTTCTCCAACAATTTCCTAATGCACGAAAGCATAGCAATCGGATGGTATGAGTTATGGTCAGACGCTGATTTGCCAGGTTTTTTAATGGCTATTACTTTGACCTGTCTCCATTCAGGCGGTACAATGTTGTTTTCTAGCAAGGAATTGAATAAATCTAGCAAGCGTCTTTTAGCGATATCTGGGAGATTTTTCAGAAGATTGAATTTAATCATATCGTTTCCCGGTGAGGAGTTGTTCGATGAAAGAAGAGCCATAGAGAAATCCAGCATTGAGAATGGTCTATCCAGAGAGCCGCCGCTAGGAGACGCTTCTCGAAGAATATTTTGTGCTGGAACTGAGTTCGGACAGACCTTTTTAGCGAAATCGAATATCCATCGGTTGGAGTATTCTTCACTCTCATTGAAAGATGAGCGGTTACGCATGTTGCGAGCCACCCTCCACAAGGTGTTCATTGAGGTTTCTCGTGAGAGTCCCTCGACGAAATTGCGCCAATAACCGCGTTTTTTTGCTTTGATTAATTGTTTCAGCTTTGTCTCAAGCTTTGAATATTCCTCGAAGTAAGTGGAGGTTTTGTGTCTACGAAAAGCTTTGAAAGCATCAGATTTTTCTACATACAATTTTGTGCATTCTTCGTCCCAACCAGGTGTGGCTGGTCTCCTTTTAAAGGGTGCACTTGGAACTTTTCTTTTTTGTGCTTCCAGTGAGCTTTTGTAAATCAAATCGGCTAGGAATCGATACTCTTCCAATGGTGGAAGCGCATCTATTGATTCGACACCGATTATC